TTTTGTTCATACAGGACATTATTCAAACTGCAAAGTGTTTACTTATATTTGTGTACACTCGCAATAAAACACAACATTGTGCTTTTGTCAAACTATAAACTCTTGTCAAACTGTAAACTACAACTGTCACCCAACCAAAATCTCTTACACACACACACACACACACAGTTTAAAAGCAAAAAATATCAAACAATCCTATTTAAAAACAGTCTGTGGGAGCCATCTTTTGGACATTCATCATATCGCATTGGTTTTCATTTCTTGTCATCAAACAGAGCCCTAATCTGTTTATTTTTTCAGTTACACATTCTACATTGATTAAAAAAGAAAAATCAAAGGTGTTTTTATTTTATACAGAAATAAATAATCTATCATTCAGATGAGAATAAAGTTAGTGTTAGTTCAAATTTTAAGGAAAACAAATATATGATCTGAAATATAGCACATTCATGTAAAATTCATTTAGGTTCGATTACCAAACATACAATCTTAATGTAATTTAAAGCAAACAATACATTTAAAATATATGGGTTGTATGACTATTTTTTAATATAAAAAGATATATATCCAAAAAGACAAGGTCTAAAGTTTAACAAGGGTTAAACTCTTATCACTGTAACAGACACAATCACACACACAATCACACACACACACACACAAGTCAAATCACTTACATTTTAGATGCAATATTGACTTTTTTTCTGTTTCAGCAGCGAAAATAGTTAAACAAAGATCACAGCAGAACCATCGCGCATCTCACAGCAACGCGTTCTCATTACTGAATGATTCAGCATTTTGAACGAATCGGTTGACTCAAAGATTCAATGACCAATCAATCCATAAACATCTATCTCATAAGTGTTTACTTATATTTGTGAACAATCGCAATAAAACACAACATTGTGCTTTTGTCAAACTGTAAACTACAACTGTCACCCAACCAAAATCTCTTTTTTATTTTATACAGAAATAAATAATCTATCATTCAGATGAGAATAAAGGTAGTGTTAGGTCAAATTTTAAGGAAAACTCTGAAATATAGCACATTCATTTAAAATTCATTCAGGTTCAATTACCAAACATACAAATCTTAATGTAATTTAAAGCAAACAATACATTTAAAATATATGGGTTGTATGCCTATTTTTTTTTATATAAAAAGATATATATCCAAAAAGTAACAGACACAATCATACACACACACACACACACACACACACACACACACACACACACACACACACACACACACACACACACACACACACACACAGACACACACACAAGTCAAATCACTTACATTTTATATGCAATATTGACTTTTTTCTGTTTCAGCAGTGAAACTAGTTAAACAAAGATCACAGCAGAACAATCGAGCATCTCACAGCAACGTGTTTTCTCATTACTGAATGATTCAGCATTTTGAACGAATCGGTTGACTCAAAGATTCAATGACCAATCCATAATCTGTCTCATTCATGAATGACTCAGCCGTTCGAACGAATCGTTCGAACAAATGAATCAATGACTCGCTCATTAAGACGGTCGCCTGGCGACACCTAATGACGGCTTAGTGATATGTTTAAAAGTATCATTCTTTCAAACGATTGTTAATTAACTCATATTTGAAACATAAGCTATATATATATATATACATACATATATACACACAAAAATAAAATAAAAACACATTTGAAGCGTGTTTGCTTACTAAATTGTGAGCAGAACGAAAGTTGCAGCAAATATCAGCAACAGGAGTCAAATTTCATTAATCACGAGAGTGAAGAGCTGACTGAAAAGATGATGACGGAATAGGCTATTTTATGTAAAAGCGCCTATTTAAGCGAATCTATCATTGTACTCTTTTGTTGTTGTGTTTTCCGTGAAAAATAATAGACTATTGAACTCACAATTCAAGCAATTGGCCCCCGATATTGCACTAATTTTAAAGTGACACTAAAAAGTATGCGGCTGCAGTGGCATTCATTACGGTGCGCGTCCATGGCGACGAGCGAGCAAAACAGAGCGAACGTTTTTTCATTTCTACTTCCATAGAAATTCATTCGAGCGCACTGTGAGCGCCACCACTATAAATGTCCTTACTTTACTTTCACTTTTAAGTTAGCGATATAAAAGCCCCCGGTGTTACACGTCAAATAACCGGTGAGAAAAAATTCTCGGAGTCACATAGCAGCTACCTATATTTAAATACAACAGGCCTACCTGATTTTGAACACAAGAGGGCAGTATAGCCCTATGTATTATTTGATATATTTATTTTTTAACTGAATAGTGCATCCTGGCTGTTTTTAAACTTGTACATTATTCTTAAATTGAAAACAAGAATAAAATGGGTTTAGTTCTGATATTTGTATAATTTTATCTAGAAATAAATGGTGTATAATTAAATTTTTAGAAGATATGAGGCTTTTAGTGTTTATTTTTTTTTACATGACTTTAATCCCTCGCCATAGCAAAACAATTAGAGATATTCAATAGATATTCACATTTATGCTTCTTTAATGTATTTTCATCATGTTGAAAAAGTTTGGTGGGAATAAAATAAACCACTTAAGAGGAGTGGGTAAAAATGTAGAGCCTGGTTTTGCAAAACATCCACATTAAGACCAAAATAGCCCACTTCCTGTTGGGCTGGCTTAAAGTTGTTTGGCCCGATGAGATCTATATGTGTACAGAGTTTCATAATATTACATGCAAGTGTGTTTGATTTATGGACCAAATTTTCTGACCAAGTTAATTTAATTAATAAACTAATTATATAAAACTATTTTCAATGCACTACAATTCAACTGGTTATATGCCTTTACTTATTAATACAACTTATTTAAAAAATACAAGGCGTAAGACATTTTTTTTTCTTTTTTAATGCAGGCCAAACCACACAGCAGTCAAATGGTTAATCTAGCCCCCCTCCCCCTCCCCACACTCACAGACACACACACACACACATAGACGTAGGCTCAGAGAGAGAGAGACATAAAATGACAATTTTCAAACCAAAATATCTGACTTCCTGTTGGTTGGAGCTATTGAGTGTAAATTAGAAAGTTGTCTGGCTGGAGGAGAACAATACACATACCGATTTTTATTACTGTAGATAAAATCAATCCCCCCACTTTTGACAAAAGGTGGCGCTACTGAGCCCCTCACCACGCCCGTTTCTGAAACTCTGCACATGTCTACTGTCTAATAAATGTGATGTGTCTGTCGGGTTTCATGCAATTTCAAGTATGTTAAGAGTCTCAAAAGCATCAAACAAGAATATTAAAGTTTGATGTGTTGCCACGGCAACAGTATCTAAGATATCAATAATCCTTTCACAGGTCTACATCTGGCGTGTGTTTACATTATACACATAAAGTTTGAAGCAAATCGGGTAAAAATAAGAGGGTGATTTCAAAGCATTTAGGAAGTGACACACTTCCTGCTGCCAGTTGGTGGCGCTATAATTTTGACTCACAATAGTCACATCCATGTGATCGGCCTCTTACAACGAACACACTGTTGAAGTTTCATCAAGATCAGTTAATGTATGCAGTAGTTATGACACACTTCCTGTTTCACGTTTCTCGCCATAATTTTGTTTCCTCGCCACGGCCAAACCGTTCGAGATATCAAAAATCCCCTCGCAAACTTTCATCCTCAATGTCTTGACTTCATGCTGACCGAGTTTCGTGCCGTTTGTTTGAATTCTCTAGGAGGAGTATTTCACATTCCATTGCGTGTGTTTTACCAACAACCCTAAATAGCCGACTTCCTGTTGGGCTGGGGTAAAAAGTAAGAGTGTGAAGTATATATGAAACGAGGAGATCTACATGTGTACCGAGTTTCATATTATTACATGCAAGCGTGTTTGATTTATGGACCATGTTTTCGGACCCCGTTCCAGGGGGCGCTGTCGAGCCCCCCTGCCACGCCCGGGTACCATCTTCAGCCCGGCCCTGATGGCCGCGGGTTCTGACATGTGTGCAAAGTTTCAGGAGTTTTTGAGCATGTTAAGGCCTCCAAAAGTGTCCAAAAGGTAGCAGAAAAATAATAAGAAGAATAATAAATAATCCTAAGGAAAACAATAGGGCCTTCGCCCTTTGGGCTTGGGCCCTAATAATCCTAAGGAAAACAATAGGGCCTTCGCCCTTTGGGCTTGGGCCCTAATAATAATAATAATAAATAATCCTAAGGAAAACAATAGGGCCTTCGCCCTTTGGGCTTGGGCCCTAATAATAATAATAATAATAATAATAATAATAAATAATCCTAAGGAAAACAATAGGGCCTTCGCCCTTTGGGCTTGGGCCCTAATAACGACTTTATTCCACTATTCATTTCCTTCTCTGTGGTCCTGATTGAGTTCACGTAGTGTAATTGCGCAGCGCTTCTGTGTTGTACGTCACACGGAGGTTCACTATTGGCCGACGCTGGTCATGTGTGTGATGCGTGTGACGCATCACACACATGACACATGATTAAATCTCAGATTTAATCAAAAATATCTTAATTTGTGTTCCGAAGATGAACGAAAGTCTTACGGGATTGGAATAACATGAGGGCGAGTAATAATTACTGACAGAATTCTCATTTTTGGGTGAACTATTCCTTTAAGTGGAATCCGTATGTTCATTTGGCCGGAAGCTAGTTATTTTACTTTATTAAGTTTTAAATATGAATATTCTTCTTACACAAACTCATCGTTTTGCTTCGGAAGGCCTTTATTAACCCCCCCGGAGCCACGTGAAGTTCGTTTATGACGGATGGATGCACGTTTTTGAGCTTCAATCTGTTGGTTGCAATCCACTGCCATTATAAAACTGGGAAGATTTTATGGATTTTTTTAACATAACTCTGACTGTATTCGTCTGAAAGAAGGAAGTCATATACACCTAGGATGGCTTGAGAGTGAGTAAATCATGGGGTAATTTTCATTTGAAAGTGAACTACTCCTTTAAGGATTAGAACATATGTGATAGATGAGTCTATTCCAGGTTGAAGGAGGACAAATGGTGGGGTGCCACTGGTGTGTCCAGCCCAGAGGAGAGCCGAAGTCCAACTGAGGCCGGGAGCGAGCAGCTTTTTGGTCTGACTGCTGGGATTAGCTTCAGTACGATGCTATTGGACAATCCTGATCTGACCATGACAAAGCCTTATGAAGCTGCTTCCTCACTGACTCATCAGGTAGCATTTATTTGCTGAAAGGAAGGGTTTTTTGTGTCCTTCACTCTTAAAAAATAAAGGTTTCATAAGGAGGGTATCGCAACAATCCGCTTGTCACATCCTGTGTCACCGTTTCCGGGTTCAAGCGCTCTATTAGATACTAAAAGCAAATGAGTATTTGACAATATGCAGTAAAAAAATGCTTTTTTGGTAAAACAACACGTTTGAAGTAAAAGTCAATTTTATGTCGTGTAAAGTCTGATGTTTGAGAAAATATAAGGGGTCTCTAATTTTTTTTTTTTTTTTTTTACATTTTTACTAAAATGTATGGTGTGACATTGCAACAATGAATAATTTTGGGGAGTTGCACCAAAGGACAACAAAACTTAAACCTTTTATAAAGGTTCCAAAAAAGATAAATATTTGAACAACTCTGAGACAAAAACTTGCCATGTGCAAACTTGGCATGGGCTTCACAGGGGGCTTCAGTAACATGACCTTGAATGGGGTCCTTAACTAATTAAACTTGTTAGTGGAATTGACCGATTTAATATCAGGATATGATGTCATACCAGAGGACATGGTTTTAAGTGACAAAATCAGGTTCCTAAGTTTTTAGAAATATATGGATGAAAAAAAATATTGTCATTTACTAAAATAGACACTCACAGTATATTATGCCTGAGGTATTTATTAACATTTGTATACTTTTCTTTTATACTTTTTATTAATTTACAAAAGTTAATTTATTGAACCATGCTTGAGACAGTCACGCCATAGGACAATTTTGAGATTTGGCTCAGAAATTATAAAAATCTAATTACAAAGCAGTTTTTTATATCAACAGGTCCACGTAAGACAATGAAATGTTTAACCATTTACTGCATTTTAAATGATGACAATACTAATTATATTCATGTTTATCTTGTGTGACAGTGAAAATGCCATGTCGCGTCAATGCCTCAAATAACAAACGGTTCTAACATGCACTCGCAGTGTGCTGTAATACTACCGAAAAATCATGATCATAACTTTTATCTCCATAGCAAAATCTCAGTTGGCCAGAGAGTGATTTGTCTTTTATAAATCTTTAAAATGTGGATGTCTGGGACGCCATGAGCTCGGAGACTTTACTGTAGCTTAGCTTAAAAGTGTGATATAAATAAATAGTGCTCATAAATGGCTGTTGAGATAGTATTCCCAATTGAAACGAATGGAGGCTTGCACCTGGAAACAGTATTCCCTACGTCACGACTTAACAAGCGGATTAAGTGGTGCGGGTAAAGCGGATTAAGTGGTGCGGGTATGACGTTTGATGTTTTGTTCTACAATGTAAATTACACACCGCGAAAACACGAATTTTGAAAACGTACGTTTTTAAAAGTAACTAGATACGAAGGCTTGGGGTGTGAGTGTGTGCAGTGTATGTAGTAGAACAACATGTCAACGTATCATCAAATTATGTTTACCACAGGCTTTATTTTACTCATAAATTGAGAAACCCCATAGGAAAAGCTCAAAGGAACCAGCGGCGAATTGTTTGTTTGTTTGTTTATTTATATAGCACAGTTTAATACAACTCACGTTGCCAAAAGTGCTTCACAATCACAGACTAAAAACACAAAAAATAGCAATGATAAAACATGACCACATCACATAAACACACATAGACAATAACCCAATTAAGAAAATTCTCCAATTGGACTTGAATTGAATTGAATTGGACTTCCGGTTTCTGGCGTCATACCCGCACCACTCTATGCCATAGAACAAGCATTTTTGGTTCTCCAAAGAACTTTTCAGTGTTCTTAAAGAACCAGTGTGAAGAACATTTAATAATAACCCAAAGAAAAAACTTTTTTCACTCGGATACGTTTCTCAATACTTAGGTCACTTTTTCAAAACTCTTCACACAGTTCTTTTAACCAACTTTTAGCTTTGTATAGCAGTTAATTTACTACCAAAAACTACCAAAACACTTCTTACATGTCTCAAACCAAGTCATTTTTCCAAAAGGTTTTCACCCAACAAACATACTGTACCTTGTCATAACAACGACCTCCTAAAAAATACTAACAGGTAGATATATAATGTTTTCAAGAATGACACTCTCTATTGTTTGTAATTCCCTGTAGTATGTTTCCATGTTTACATTACAGTTCAAAATTATTCCTAAGTTCCTCTTATGTATAGATAGTAATGAAATTGAAGGACTAACACCTGTGTAGGAGTTCATCTACATCTAATTGTTTTGATAGTATTTAAATTTTTAAATTAGGAAAATATTTCAATATGGTATTACTTTAGACATGTAGCAAATTGCTGTCTTATTCATTTTTGTATTACGTTAGGTTTTGAAAAGAGAATGTATACGTGCAAAATCGGCCTGTAGGCATATATAGAGTTTGGGCTGTGGTTGGGTCGAAGTGAGAGAAGAATTCATGTAAACTGAAAGAATGAATGCATTCTTGTGCCAAAGCAATGATAAATGATTTAGAGTTTAGGCCACATAGACTGCTGTTGTGCTCACTGAGTGAAGAGTTTTGAAAAAGTGACCTAAGTATCGAGAAATGTGTCCTAGCGATTGTAAAAAAAATAAAATAAAAAAAACCCTGTAAATTCAAACCTTCACATAATACAAAATTTAATAAGACAGCAATTTGCTACATTTAATAGAAAAAAAAAATTGATGTAGCTGAACACCTACACAGGTGTTAGTCTTTCAATTTCAAAGGGCACAATTCATCAATTCATGAATAATTTTGTGCTGTAATGTAAACATGGATCACGTAACATACTGCAGTGAATTCGAAACAGTAGAGAGCTGTCATTCTTGTAAAAGGACCAAGTTTAGCCCACATACACCATAAAAAAATGCTGGGTTGTTAAAAATGGACAAACACAGCCATTGGGTTAACATTTTTAATTAAATTTTTAACCCAACATTTGGGTTTGTCCATATTTGACCCAAAATTGGGTTAAGACAACCCAGCACTTTTTAGAGTGCTGTTGTGTTCACTGTGTGAAGAGTTTTGATAAAGTGACCGAAGGAAAAAAAAAAAAAGTAAACTAGAAATGTTCTTTTGTGTGTTTCTCAGGAGTACTTATTTAGAGGATATGAGCAGTTTCTTGACCTTGCTCCAGGAGGGAACCCCATGATGGCGTTTGTTGCAGGAACGGCCCATAAATCGCTCCTGGTGGCTGATGACGCCATGGTGAATCCTGCGGGATCGGATGTGTTCCTCAGGACCATTGATGATGAGATGGCGCTTCTTCAGAACATTCAGTTCTTCTAAATAAGCTTTATCCTGTTTGAGCCATTTAGGCATAGTTCTATGATCAACCTTTTTTCTCTTAATACCTACTGTTGTTAAGTCTTAAAGGAATTTTATGGTTGCAAATGTTAAGAGTACTGTGTTCATGAAAAGTTCATAATGCTCTGTCAGAAAATTGGTATAACATTTCAAGTGTGTGAGGCATTTGGCTTATGAATGTTAAAGAAGAAGACTAGTCTGCTTAGTTATTTGCAAATGAAATGTATTGAGATAAATGTTTACTGTATTGCCATTTGTGATTGTCTGTATGATTTTGAAACTCTGATTAATCCAACAGATAAACAGACAGTAAATAATAAAATGAAAAATTGGATCCAATTATCTTTTTTGCACTTGTTGGACCTGTTATTGTTTGTAGCCTACTTAACTATATATTACTGACCTGTATATGGTAATGCTGTACATGTACCAATAGTATATCAAACACTTGCAGTAGTACAATGTAAATACTATGGTACATAATTATAGGCCTGTACATACACGCACATTTTTTATTATTATCAAGTTTTCTGGAATTAAATGGCATACCTATTAGGTTTTGTAATCCGTCAACACGTGGATGAATCCTTTAAAAAATCCCTAAAGGAAAGCTAATGGAATTCATTCCTTTTACTTTCCATTCCTTCGGAAGCCTGGCATATCTACTAGCATGATTCGTTGATCCTATTATTGTTTCCAACTTAGGATAAAATGTCCATACAGGGAATAAACCGATGTGTTGACACTTTTTTCCACTCCCACTGCTTTCACACACATGTCTGATGATGAAAGTTGCGAAACCGAAAGTTAACGGATCAATTGAAAACGGGAATATCACATCAGAGTTTACAATGAACAACCACAACATTCCTGCGTGTGTTTGGAAGGTGAGGGTGGAAGTGTTGAAGTGGTTTCTCGTGGCCACTGTTGCCTGCACCTGTGTGGGTGTGGTGTATATACAGTGGACACACATTTGGATACTTAGGGCTGAAATGTCTGAAATAACGCAGCGGTTCAGGCCTCTGGAAACAGCGGGGACAGAAGGTGGGATATGCTGCGATTGTGCCGTGTTCTACGGGGTAGGTGAGTGCTTTCATTCATGTGCTATTTTAACTGCCTCGTAACGTTGTTCATCTTTTACTTCACGAACTATGAATGCACTGTTTTGCACATGCATCCTCTTTATACCAAAGTAGGCTATTTTCTGAAGAAACTTGAGATTCGGTAATGTGGTAAATATAAAAGTAGGCTATTGTCATTGTTATAACATGGCATTTTAAAACACCTTAAAGTACCATCACCATGATATGAATATGGTAATCATTCTGCATTATACAAAAAATGTACTGTGGCAGATTATGTTAGTCATGGTATGAAATGGTAATAGGCTAGTAGCCTACTTTGATGTACTGTCCTGCTATTGTAGGCTATTTACATGGTACACTTTTAGGAATACCAAGCACGTGGTATATGGTAATCATGGAGTACCCTATGATATATCCTACATTAACAAACATTGGTTACACCAAAATCATGTTTCTGGAGTTTATTTGTGCAACTGATTTCACTTCTTCATCTCAAACTGTTTTACAAAGAACAGATCTGATGGTACCAAACACTCAGAATGGATCATGTTTACAATATCAGAAATTAGGACACCCTTCCAACAAATGTGAAATAAATGAATAAACTCATACCTGAACTCTCTCTCAAGCAAAAGCATTTTATTCAAAAGTTTCTTCTTGATATCCATCCTGCTAGTCATTCATCAAACACTGTTAATCCAAGTGAGTTTTGTGAGTTCTGCAACAACCCAGTAAAAGACTCTTCAAAAGTCTGGGCACAAACTTCTAACCATCAAACACAAATCATGACTTTCAGGTCAAGAAATAATGTTGATTACAAATAATAAAACCCAAGAAAACATATAATAATGTATGGTTGGTAGGATATCAGAACCATCAACTTTTAATGGGGAATTATGCAAATTTTTACTACAGGGTAAAAAAAAAAAGAGAGAGAGAGCCCCAAACAAGATTAAATACGGCTTCATAGCCAGGAAAAAAATGTTTGTTGATTATTGGCTGCCGAAAGTGTGAAACCAAATACAAATATAGACTATAAGGTCTATGCCAAGCAATTTAGCATATTATTGGGCCTGTGCTGTTCATGGTAATATGACCAAAGGTACCGTATGTGGACACCCCCTTCAAATGAGTCGGGCTATTCCAGTAATATCTGTGAGGACAATGACCAAGAATTGTGTGCTTTGTTGCAACAGTTTGGGAAGGATCCAATGGGGTTTTTCGCAGAACAATGTTTTCAAGTGAATTGCTGGCATTGTAGAACCCATTAATGACCGAGGTTGCCAACTCATGTCCAATGTAAAACCCTGGAGCAAAATCATTTGAGCTTTAGTATGTGATATCTAATTTCAAAAATATTTTGTTATAAGGTAAGCTGTTATCACAGATTCCCTGAGAGACGGAAACATGAAGACGGCCGAGACAAGAGAGAGGTGACAGAACAGAGGAAACAGAGAAAGAGACGACAAAGTGAGTTACTCCTGTCACTCTCGCTTTCTCTGTCTGTCTTATACAGACAAACACACATTTTTTCTCTTATTTCTTATGTGAATTGACCTTTCTTTTAGCAGAGCGGCACACGTTTGTCCATCTTGTTCCTGTGTCCTTGCAGTCATACAGTGAGTGTAACACCCACAGTGTCTGTTAAAGGGAATAGATCAACCACAATAAAACACACTCTGACCCAATCCAATCCTGTTTGACTTCCTTCCACTGAACTCAAAAGGAGATGTTTTGGAGAAACAGCTCTCAAATAAATCTCATGTGCTTCAGCAGATGCAAAAAATTCAATAATATCATAAATATTTTGATACATAATGTACATAATTTACTCACCCTCATGTCATTGCAAATCTGTATGACTTCTTTTTGATAGACAGACGACAGATAGATAGATAGATAGATAGATAGATAGATAGATAGATAGATAGATAGATAGATAGATAGATAGATAGACAGACAAATGGACAGACAGATAGATAGATAGATAGATAGATAGATAGATAGATAGATAGATAGATAGATAGATAGATAGATAGATAGATAGATAGATAGATAGATAGATAGATGGACAGACAGATGGATGAATAGATAGATAGATAGATAGATAGATAGATAGATAGATAGATAGATAGATAGATAGATAGATAGATAGATAGATAGATAGATAGATAGATAGATAGATAGATAGATAGATAGATAGATAGATAGATAGATAGATAGATAGACAAATAGACAGACAGATGGATAGACAGACAGAAAGATAGATAGATAGATAGATAGATAGATAGATAGATAGATAGATAGATAGATAGATAGATAGATAGATAGATAGATAGATAGATAGATAGATAGATATGTTGGAGATTGTTGTTTTTCTCTCATTTCTTCTCTGTTTTCTCAGATGATCATGACACCACTGTTCTGTCTTGGGCTCTAGGGCAGAGCCGAGGGGAGGGGCTTCAGGTGTCAGGTGACACAGTAACAGTGGAGGCCGAGGGTACATACTTCATTTACAGTCAGGTTGGTATTGTTTGGTACTGATACTACTGCATTATCAAAGTACATTATCAACTGTCAGTCGTTCAAGCACAATTGAAGAGCGCTCCCTTTATAATCACAAAACAGCTGTCACTCATTTTAGTTAATCACAATCTCACAATCCATGAAGCTGTCTACACCGCACAATAAATCATTTATTCACATCTCGTCTAGTTATAATGAGAGGATTCGCGAGCGTGCAGAACTCAGCAATGAACAAAAACTCTGGTGTTTTGACCTGTGAAATCAATGGCCAAAACACATAAAAAGTTTTATGTTTTTAGTGTTGTGTAAACAGCACCTCATTCATCGGCCATTGCGTTCAAGAAATCAACAGATATGTTTGTGATTTGCTACGTTGCCCAATGCTGCAACAACACGTAAATAGAAACCTTTGATGCTCTACAGGGCACAAACACAGATACGCACTGCATCGCTTGCCAAATCTGTTTCGCCAATAGGCTATTATTCCGAAGAAGACTGATCCTAGACCAGCAGTTCTGCGCAGCTTTTCCCTGTAAAAGCAATCAGCTTGCACCTGTAAATATTTTTATTTTAATTGTTGCTTTCGTGCTATTTTAGATAAATGTTTGTTTTAAGATATTTCATTTTTAGATAATAATAATTCATTACATTTATATATAGCGCTTTACATAGAAGGGGGAATCTCCTCAACCACCACCAATGTGCAGCATCCACCTGGATGATGCGACGGCAGCCATAGTGCGCCAGAACGTCCACCACACACCAGCTTACTGGTGGAGAGGAGACAGAGTGATGAAGCCAATTGGTATATATATATGGGGATGATTAGGAGGCCATGATGGGCAGAGGCCACTGGGCAGATTTGGCCAGGATGCCGGGGTTACACCTCTACTCTTTCCAAAGACATCCTGGGATTTTTTGTGACCACAGAGAGTCAGGGCCTCGGTTTAACGTCTCATCCGAAGGACGGTGCTCTTTGACAGTATAGTGTCCCCATTACTACACTGGGGCGTTAGGACCCACACAGACCACAGGGTGAGCGCCCCCTGCTGGCCTCACTAACACCTCTTCCAGCAGCAACCTGGTTTTCTCAGAAGGTCTCCCATCCAGGTACTGACCAGGCTCAGCCCTGCTTAGCTTCAGTGGGCAACCAGTCTTGGGCTACAGGGTGATATGGCTGCTGGCCTATTTTTATTTTCCAGGAGTCACGCAAATCATTTTATTTTCCCACAACCCCCGCACACGCGTTCGTTCACCCTCAAATATTGTCCCGCGCTGCATTCTGTCTTACTTAATACAATAAATGACTTTAAGCATTTAGGTTTATTCTTTTGCTTGCCACAGGTGCTGTATAAAGATACCACCTGGATGATGGGTCATGTGATCACGAAGAGGCTGAAAGGGGCGGAGACTAAGCTGATGAAGTGTTTAAAAAGCATGCCCAGTAACGTCAGCCAGCCACTCAACACTTGCTACACTGCTGGTGAGTTATCAGGACAACAAAGTTCAAAAGTGAATTAACTCTTGCATTATTTATGCATCAGATAGGAGCACTCAGGCTGTGTCCGAAATCGCCCCCTATACCCCTAAATAGAGCACTAGGGACAGCCATTTGTAGTGGTGTCCGAAACCATAGTGGACGTTATTGAGTGCACTCATTTAATCCCACAATGCACCGCAATAACGAGTCTACAACCGATGTACCGATACCCATAATGCACTGTCGAATTAATTCCTGCGTCTGACCAGAAGATGGCGCCGCTGCTGAATCATCCATTTTCCAAACCGCTGGTCCAATGTGGCTACCATTACTAGGCTACTTGTGCTGCCAGTTTGCTAAGTTTAAAATTATTATTAAACAGCAAGCACAAAAAAAGCGGCAGCCCTTCCGGTGTCACCGTTGTGCTCCGTTTAGTTTGTTTTCAATGGGCTATATGCACGCATAACTTCCGCGTCTGATGCAAGGATGCTCTTGCGTTTCCGGTTGGGGAGATTTAAAGCGGAGGAAAACCGAGGAAACCGGGATTATGGCAGAGTCTTCAAAATTTACTGTCCTCTCGTCTTTGAAACGAAAGTTTAATACGTTAAGATGTGATTTTATATATAGTTGTGTTTATTTAATATAATAAACAAAGAAGCATAAACAAAAATGAGGGGTGTCTGTTTTGTCTGTTTTTGTGACTAACGTTTCTTTAGTATAGCAATAGAGTATAAAAACCAATATAAATTCTCGGTATAGCATTGGACTCTACGATCGGCGGAAGTAATTCAGCATCCTTAGACCTTCACCAGAAATACCGCCGTGCATAGAGCCCATGGACCTGTCTACTTGTCGTCATGTCACGTGTCATTATCATTATTAGTTCATCCGTCTCACCTGTCACCTCGTTAGTCTTTTCAGCTGTCTCGTTTCCCTGATCTGTTTCCCCATGTATTAAAGTCCTGTGTTTTGCCTTGTTCATTGTTCGTGCGCGCGCGTGCGTGCGTGTGTGTGCGTGTGTGTGTGTGCGCGTGTGCGTGTGAGAGAGAGAGAGAGAGAGAGAGAGAGAGAGAGAGAGAGAGAGAGAGAGAGAGAGAGAGAGAGAGAGAGAGAGAGAGAGAGAGAGAGAGAGAGAGAGAGAGAGAGAGAGAGAGAGAGAGAGAGAGAGAGAGAGAGAGAGAGAGAGAGAGAGAGAGAGAGTGTGAGTGTGAGTGTGAGTGTGAGTGTGAGTGTGAGTGTGAGTGTGAGTGTGAGTGTGAGTGTGAGTGTGAGTGTGAGTGTGAGTGTGAGTGTGAGTGTGAGTGTGAGTGTGAGTGTGAGTGTGAGTGTGAGAGTGAGAGAGAGCCTTCAACCCGTTCTGTACATGTTTGTATGATATTCTTGTGAGTAGGCCTAAATGATATTGGAGCTTTTGCCTATTCGCTTTTCTTCTACCTACACCACACCGTGACATCCGGCGCACTCAGTGTCTGAATTCTCTCACTCGTTTTCATTCACTCCTTCAAGTGAACTAAATTAGCGGACTAATGTAGGGAATAATGAATGAGGGTTTAGGGGGGATTTGGAGCACAGGATCAGACTCTTTAAAGTTTGTACCTTTTTAAATGAAAAAATCACCATGTTTTTGTACTTTAAGTGCACATTAAGACAATTGTTTTTGATCATAATATATATGGAATAAAATCACTGTCAAAAATAATCGTACGTAATTCAAAACATCTGTGTGTAATTTTAATATACTCGTGCGTAATTTAAAACTATTGTATGTAATTCTGTTTTTTGTCAGAGTTGGATTCCAAAATCTACGGCCACGACAGTTTACAGATCGCGATTTTGAGAGTTTTTTAGAGTACAACTCTAAAATGTACGACTGTGACAGTTTACAGACACAGCACTTGTTTTCACAACAGCTCTGTTACACACACGACATGCGAATTACGACCACGAAGTGCGGCGTGCGAAACGACTGTCAAAAATACGTCATCAAGGTCACAGGCATTACTATCCGAGGGAAGATGAATCGATTCAACGAAGTGCGCATGCGCCCCGCCAACTTTTTAAATCACTGGCGCCGAGATGGCGGATCAACAGCCGAGCGCTCACTCCTCGTCTCAGGTAAATTAATTTTTTGTGTGTTTAAGGGTTAGTTATCACTAATAACAGAGAGGAGCAATATTACAGAGATATTATAGTAGGTAAGAAAGTACATGTAACGTTAGGTGCTTAAAGAAGACAGTTGTTTAGGAGGTAATCACTGCAGCCTGTAGCGCGATGAGATAGGGCTACATAAAAGAATGAGCAATTTTAAGTGTTGACTTCATAACAGCCGTGTTACTTACATGCACTGTAATACACAGGTTAATAATAATATAATGTAATATAAGTGTTCACTGTTTAAGTATTGAAGTCATATTTCATTGTTCACTAATAAAATATATAATTTTGTTTAAGTATAATATTAATGTCAGAGTAATTTGACTTACAGGGACCGCTGATGACGCAGCTACTAGAACGCCTCAGGTCACGAATAAGTGCAGTTTTAGATGGTCATCAGCTGGACTTGGACTATTTTCAGTATGTTGTCAATCAAGAAGTGTTTATTTTGTCATCAGCCTCCACTATCTTTGATGTGCCAAATGATATTTTGGAGACCCTCATGGGTTTACAACAAAAAATTCATGCAGCTCTTTCCCAAGAGGTGGCCCCAGTTCTTACAAGGGAATGTGGTGGTGGACGAGGTCGACCTAAGTTTATTGTTTCCGAGGAAATGCTGTCCCGTCTCATAGAGATGTCTTTACCAGTTTCTTGTATTGCGAACATTTTAGGAGTAAGCCAGTCAACAATCTTCCGCCGAATGCGTGACTTTGGTTTTTCTGTAAAAGCTACGTATAGCACCATATCTGACAATGAATTGGATGATGCCATTTTGGCTATCAAAAGAAGACTACCAAATGCTGGATATAGGATGATAAAAGGCTGCCTGCAAGCAGACGGACATAGAGTGCAATGGAACCGCATAAAAGAATCCATGCACAGAGTGGATGCCCCTGGGATATTGGAAAGGATGACACAGCTGGGGTGTATTGTCAGGAGGTCATATTTTGTTCAAAATCCACTGTCCTTAGTCCATATTGACACGAATCACAAGCTCATAAGGTATGGTCTCATATTTTACCTACGAAAGTGTAATGTTATGCAATATTACGTTTAACATGGTTTTACTTTGAAGGTACAACATCATCATATTTGGTGGGATAGATGGGTTCTCACGAAAGGTAAACACATTTATTTCCAACCCAGTGGAATCTATCTATCAATCAATAATATTACTTCTTCTCTATCTATAATCTGACTATCTATCTGTGTTTGAATGTATTGAATGATTTAATGTATTACATTTATTCTTTTTTGGTATAGATCATGTACCTGGAACCAGCAACAAACAACCGTTCAAGCACTGCCTTATCATTCTTTCTCCAGGCTGTGCAAAAACATGGCTGGCCTTCAAGGTAGGAGAAAATTGTTTTTCTGCTCCTCACTTCATTGCGTTTAGTTAAACCCTCATCCCTCCCTCAGGTCATTTTGACCCAAAACTGATTTTCCAAAAAATTATAAAAATCGTGTGTTGATCGTACCGGTCCAAGATTTCTTTACTTTTGTCATACTTGCACCAGAACACACACACACACACACGCACGCACACACGCACACACACACAAAAACTGAGTGGATTTGAGGAGTTTAAATGGGTGCAATAAAAAAAGTAACAAAAGGGTCCCTCGTGGGTCATTTTGACCCACATAGGAATGAATGGAATTTACGAGAAAACTGCATTTTTTTATTACTTTTTTGTTTTTTTGATATACAAAATCTGACGCAATAAAGATTTATACCCAAATGAAGGGCATACAGAATATCCCCAATGCAGAAAACACACACACACTCCAATAGAACATATTATGTTTCATGTTTCTTTTTTTGACTTAACAGTTACATTTGAGAGAATGAGTTTATATCATAGTTATATTTTTTTAAATATATTTATATTTATGAAATTGTATGAATGTACACATGTTTAGGTTTTAATTCAGCTAGATTTATTTACTTTTTACAAAATATGGATTTTTTTTAATTAAAAAAAAAACTTAAAAAAATATTCAGAATAAAAGGTAAATATAATAAAAATCACCCAAAAATAATAGAAAAACCTACATAAATATTTAGAAATAAATTATTAAAATGGAATCTTAAGATTTCTGGCCCTCGGGTCATTTTGACCCAGGAAGGACACTTCTGTTGTAGGTTTGGGAGAGACGGATGAGTAAACATGTTTATTTGTATTTTCTTAACATTATGGCAGTCAAGCAGATTTAACCTCTCCCTTCACCCCTCTATTTCAGGGTCCGGGCTGATGAAGGTGTGGAAAATGTGGCAATTGCAGAAACCATGTTTCGTGTGAAAGGGACTGGAAGAGGAAGCTTCATTTCTGGGAAAAGCGTACATAATCAGAGGTAATAAACAAGTTAGGATTAGGATGTCACACTATCGTGTAATTTACCATTTTTAATCGATACATTTTGTATTCTCTAGAATTGAACGCCTGTGGCGAGACGTCTGGGTCAGTGTAACACAGCTGTATTACGAAATACTTCACAGCCTTGAGGAAGATGGCTTGTTGGACTTGTCAGATTCCCTTCATGTGTTTTGTGCACACTATGTCTTCCTCCCACGTCTGAAGCGTAACCTCCACAGTTTTTCTGAAGGCTGGGACAATCATCCATTACGGTCTGAAAATGGGCTCACCCCAAACCAGATGTGGATAATGGGACACATGCACAACTCATCTGGAGACAATGAAGAGAGTTTTCAGGTTTGTTTTTTTAATTGATTTTCTATGCCTTCAAGTTATACTGTCAAATTAAAGTAATTTTTTTAAAATTTCATTTAAGAATTTGGAACTGTTTGGAACAGACTGGGAGACGTTTGATAGTGTGACAGAAGAT